ATATTTAGTAGCAATTAAGTTATTACCGTTAATTAATTACCACTATAGATCATTTGTGGTGTATTGACCACTCACACCCCTCTCTCTCACTTTTCCATTACATTTGTGATCTAAATTATATACAAATATCTTTTAAGATAAAATTTTAGTATATATTTATGCATTGAATAAAAAATAATAATCAAAAACCACTTATAAAAACATTTTCCTCCTCCCAAACACACCCCTATTGGTCAAGCTATTCTTAAAACCATTAAATTTTGGATTAAATTATTTATATATTCCATTTCTGTTTAAGTTTGGTAGGAAAAGGGCAACAGGGGATGCATTTGGTGTGATGAACCAAAAGTAATCTAATTTATAACTATTCTATAGAGAATAATGTCATTAATCATTTATATTCTTATATCATAAGAGGGAATATTCAAAATAATATTTTTCTTCTTCTTTTGCAATTTGCCCAAGTATGGTTTCTGGCTAATTATCATTTACTTTTCATTTGCAAATGTACATTATACATCTGGACTTCCATGTGTCCTATTCATGTCCCTCTAATTTCCAGTAGTCATACGCAACTGAGTCTTTGGAATCGACTTTCATATTATATTTTATGTTCTTTAATACTTTATTCATCTTAATTTATGTGGTGTTTTTCGAATTTTGATATTCAAATAAATTTATATTTGATCAAAATTTTTTTATATATTTTTTAAATATTTTAAATTGTTAATTATTGTGACTTAAAGTACTTTTTACGTAATTTACAAATATAAAAAAATTCATTTAAAAAATTTGAAAATTTCACAAGCAAATTTCCAATCAAACTTAAATGGTTTGACTCTTGAAAAAACGAAAAAATGCTACATAAATTAGAACAAAGGAAATAATTATATTTTGTTATAATAATTAAAAATATCCAAACAAACGATATCGATGTAAATTTTTTTGGAGGTTATTATTAATTTATATGGAAGTTTTTGGATTATAATATATATGTCGACAATACACAAAATTATCCATACAATTGTTTATTATGAATATGGACATCTCAAAATATCTAAACATGTTGTCGACACTCTATCCACTCTTCAACTAGAATAAGTACACAGGGTTTTATCTTGCTGGCACAAAAGACTTTTTCTTGAATTGGAAAAATTATATAAATACACCGTTTAATCTATCATAATTTCTAAAATTTCCTTCTATTTAAAATTTTTATAAATATCCATATATAGATCTCAATCCTCTCAGTATATTAAGTAATGTATCATTTGCAATGTATCAAACAAACAATGAATGTATTCGAGAACAATAAAAAATACGAAATTTTTATAATTGAGGAAAATTTCATATTTTTTAGAGATAAAATGTAATTAGCCCCAATTATATGGGATTTGTGTAAGTTATACAATTTTTTTTTATCAGTATGTCTATTTGAATTATTGAGTCATATTATATTTAGAGAATCAATTCACTCAATTGATCAAACATACATTAATTCTAGTTAATATTTGGTGATAAAACTGTTGCTCATAACTGTAACTTAAGTTATCCCACAAAAGGTAGAAAAGGGAAAAAAATGACTAATTTGAAATTATACAAAAGAACGGTCATCTCTATAGGTTTAATGAAATAGTGACATAAATAAATGTATATAAATAGGTAATTGAGAGAAAATTTAGATGGATAACCTAAATTATATGTAATATGCTCTATTATTGTCGTACCAAAATGTTTTTATATTGAATCGTCAATTGACCGGAATTTGAAAAGGAAAATTTTATGCAGTGTAAATGCCAGAATTTTATTAAGGAAAATTTAAAAATATGAAGAAATAAATATCCTCAATGTATATTACTATAAAAAAATAAATTCTCTTTTGATATTGAGTAATAAATATTCTCCGGTTTGTACGTCAGTAGCACTTTTAAAATGCATTTTTAGCTTTTACATTATCAACTTTTGTCTATTTTTTTAAATTTATTTTTACTTGTAAATTGTAATGACATAGCGCACGCGCTCTCTCTCTTTAAATTGATTATCGATTTATAGGAAAAATAATTTTTCTTTGAAATTGAAAAAAAGTATGAGAAATTATGACTCCCAGCTTACGATTAGAAGTCTCACATCGGCAAAACACATGAGAGAGGCTGAGTATATAAGTAAGCAAGTTCTACCAACTAGTGACGCATTTTAAGCCATGTGGGTCTAGGCCAAAGTGGACAGTAACACTAGTGGGCTGAGCTATTACAAATGGTATCAGAGTCACTCATGTGTCAGACTGTCAACCTTGTCGATGTGGGCCATAGTTCAATTGAGTTTAGGCAAATTCTTGTAAGGCATGGCAAACCTCAGTGTTGAATCTAAGAAAATCCCATTCGGTGGGGGCAAACCTCAACGAGGACTCTGAGTCCATAGATGGGGTGTATGTGACGCCCCTTCTTAAGATTAGAAGTCTCACATCGGTAAAACACAAGAGAGATGTCGGGTATATAAGTAAGCAAATATTACCAACTAGTGACGCGTTTTAAAGTCGTGCGGGTCTAGACCCAAAGTGGACAATATCACTAGCGGGCTGGGCCCTTACACAAATAATAAGGGGAAATTACAGAAATCAATACTTTTAAGGCAATCGTTAAGTAAGATACATTACATTTTATACATGATACACTAATATGATATACATTTTATACATGATACACTAATTTGATGAGCGAGATACACTAATCTGATGCACGAGATACATTAATCTGATGCGCGAGATACACTAATCTGATGTGCGAAAATGAGGGATTTTGGAGATTTATGAAACTTATAGGGGATAGTGGTGATAAATAAACTAAAAGGTGGGATTTCTGTAATTTTTTCAAATAATAATCAAGTGTGATGCCCGACAAAGTATTGTTACATAAAAGTATTTTTTTAATCTCTTTATAAGAGTTCCCACCTTTTTTCCTCACGTAGTTATGTGACTCGAACTCACAATCTTAGAATTGAATTGAGAGTATTATCATCCGAATGCAACCCCCTCTTGTCAAATTAATTTTTATTGTTATATAACGATGAATTTAATGTTATAATATGACAAAATATGTTAAAAAGAATCGAAATAAACATTATATTAAAACTAATCATCCATACTGTCAATCATCTAAACAATCATCTAAACAAAAAGGAGATTATTGTCCATTAGAAAGTGAAAAAGAAAAGATTACACATGGCAACACGACATGATGTAAAGAAATATATATATTTATTATTCCTATAGTTGACATCAATAAATGCATATAATAAATGAAATTGGGAGAAGTCATATAGTGCATTATTGTGGTACCAAAAATGTTTTTATATTTAATTGACTCGTGAATTTTATTACAACGTGCTTTAATCTAAAGTTTTTCCCCAATCCCTGGGTCCCACCACCACTAACCCCGGCCCCCTTTCAGATTCTACATTTCTGAATATTCTTTTAAGAAATTAAAATTTATTTAAAACCCTAATTGAATCTATCATCTCTTATATGCACTTGTTCACCTCTTTTTAATGAAGAAAAAATTAATTAAAATTTTAAATTAGTCTTACATATTCAAATTTTAATTTTCAAAAACAAATTAGAGAAAATTGTATAACTAATTTTTTTTCTTATCGTGAATGTGAAGAAGCTACAGAGTGAAAATGTTAGTATAAAAAAATTCAAGTGTAACACTTGCTATATGTATCTTTATTGTCTATCTAAGCAATTGACTTATTGTTATTGGGGTTGGAGACTCGAAGTGTGTGCTTTCTCAAATCGCATGATATTTTGGATATCAAAATTCAAATGCTCTGTCTGTCTGTGACTCAAACTCACAACATTAAGGTTGAAAGTGAAGAATGTACTTTTACTTGTCACTTTGTATCAAGCTGAAAAGACAAAAACAAAATCATATTTTATCTTTAACAATAAGAACTTGTTCCGTAAATCATTTTTGAAGATCTAATACTTAAAAATCAATTAATACAGATATTGTAATAAAATACTCATATTAATAATTTTTAAAGAACATATAAATTTAAAATGAATGAATAAAAGTGAAGGGAGAACGTATTTTTTTACAACAAAACTGAAGTTTTTCCTCGGTGTAAGATGTGTAAATGATTTTTTAACGGTATTTGGTGTTTAAATGACTAATATGATAAGATGAGTATGTTACTACATCCATTACTCTAAAAATAAAATGTATATTTTTATTATGTAATATAATAAATTTTTCATTTTAAATTGTCTTGTTCTAAAATAAATGTATATTTTTTACTTATGTTATACTAATAAATTGTGATTTTATTTATTATTCCTGCTAAGTAAATACAAGACAATTTAAAATGCAACTGAGGGAGGGAGTATCTAGTTTGTACACATTTCAACTCATTATGGCCAAATAATTCATTGCTACACGACGTGAATACCAGAAGACAGACTCGCAATTTCATTGCTCCAAACTTGGAGGAATTAAAAATAATTAAAGAAAACAAATCACTTTAGAAAGGAAAAATACATATCAAAGTTGATGCTCGAAATTACTCTCTCTGTCCAATAATAATTGTCAACTATTAACTTGATACACTAAGAAACACTAGATAATAAGAGTAATAATATTATATCACCCTTTGAATATATTAAATTTAATGCATTGAAAATTATATTAGATATTAAATATTTAATAGCAAGAATAGAATAAATAAATTATCGTTTAATTTTTCAAACTGAGCAAATATTATTAAATAACTATTTTTAATATATGAACAAATAAAAATAGACGGAGCAAGTACTAAAAAGAAAAAGGAAAGCGAGAGAAAGACTTTTTTAATCGCAAAAGCCAAGTTCCGTTAATGTGATGATAATAATTATTAAAACATGGTTGACTTATTATATTATTAAATTTATCCACCAAAAGGGTATAATTGGCATATCAAAACTTGGTGGCTCCATATAAATACAGGAGTTGAATGCCCTATGTACGACACACAACTCTTTTAATTGCAAAAGTCAAGTTCCCTTAGTTCCTCACTCTATGGAGTACTAAGTTTTTCTTTTCTTTTTTCCTCAAGAATCTATGAGATTCTAGCCGATAACCTATCTTATTTTTAAGGTTATCAATTTTAGACTTCACTTATTATAATTATGGCGGTTAAATGTGGATCATCGCCGATGCATGCCACCTCTAGCGGATTACTACAAGGAGATAATCCGCTGCATTATTCACTCCCTTTGGTGATTGTACAAATATGTTTGGTGCTTGTACTCACTCGAGTCCTCGCCTATATTCTCCGTCCACTAAGACAACCGCGTGTTGTTGCTGAGATTATTGTAAGTTTTTCTTCTTTTACATTGTCTTCTTTCTCACGGCTTAAGCCAATAGTTTTACACTCTCCTTCTTTTGATCTAATATAATATAGTGCTAAATTTTCACTTCATTAAATGAATATTTCAATTAATTTATTTTATATTACACTTTTATTATTGAAGATATGAACTTCTCTTAACAAATTAATCATTATTGTTGCCTCCACGTTCAAAGGACTAATTTGGCGTCGAATTGTTGGTACCACATTTATTCATGCAACCAGAGTTTTTTTTTTTTTTTTAATAAAAATAATTAAAAATTCCACCTTAAGAACGTACATATTACTCCATTTAATTATTTATTCTTTTTAAACGTGCCTCGGGTAGGTTTTAACCTGACTGTTGCTAGCCAACTCTTAGGAAAAGCTGTCTAGAAAATATATTTTATGTATGAAAATCATAGTATCCAAAATTAATTTACTTATTGCACATCATATATATATATATATATATATTGACTTTGTAGCATGGACTTATAATATATGATGAAAATCAATTCTATAATAGAGGAGATTCTTCAGATCCTCTGCATCAATTGTGAAAAGTACATTTAATTAAAAATGGAGGGAGTAGTTAAGGTTTATAAATGAAAGAATCAATTTTTATAACAATAAAGCTTGGTTCAACTTTTTTGATAATTTTTTAATCTGATGAATGTAATTTTCTTGCTTTGATTGCTTATATTGATCAAGTATACACGTCGATATTTTTTAGGAGTCAAATTTTTTTTCTTAATGATATACATGGTTTCATGATTTTTTTCTTAATTGAATCGCAGTTTATAATTTGCTTCAGAAAAACTTAATCCTAAATCATCATTACTTTTTTTTTATCAGAGGAAAAATTCAAAATTTAAATCTAATGAAATTAAAATGAGTGACATCTTATCATAAATATACATTTTAATTTGAATTAGTATTGTAATATACATGTAATTTAAACCAAAACCAACATGCATGTTGATCAAGTGATCAATGTCCTAGATCCGCCTCTGGTACCATAAAAAAAATTGACAGTTGATTATTTTTATTTTTTGCTAGGGAGGTATTTTACTAGGTCCATCTGCGCTCGGACGCAACAAAAATTATCTAAACGCGATATTTCCACCAAATAGCCTCCCAGTGTTGGACACGTTGGCTAACCTTGGCCTTCTATTCTTTCTTTTTCTCGTTGGGACTGAGTTAGACCCAAGATCTCTTCGTCGAACCGGAAAGAAAGCTCTATGTATTGCCCTTGCTGGAATTACTCTCCCTTTTGTTTTAGGAATTGGGACATCTTTTGCTCTTCGATCCACAATTGCCCAAGGGGTTAATCAAGCCCCTTTTCTAGTCTTTATGGGAGTTGCCCTTTCTATCACTGCCTTCCCTGTCTTAGCTCGTATTTTAGCTGAACTCAAGCTATTAACAACTGATGTTGGTCGAATGGCTATGTCGGCCGCGGCGGTTAATGACGTGGCAGCATGGATTCTACTAGCTCTTGCTATTTCACTTTCAGGTTAGATACATGTTGAACATTTCTTTTTGGATAGTGTATAGTTGAAGAAATATAAATATTTAAATTCTGAATTCGCATCTTTTATGTTATGTTGTAGGTTCGGGGTCTCCTATTGTTTCTTTGTGGGTCCTGTTGAGTGGGACAGGTTTTATCCTTCTTTGCATATTGATTGCACCTAGAATATTCAATTGGATGGCAAGGCAATGTCCTGAGGGAGAGCCGGTGAATGAGTTGTATGTGTGTGCTACATTGGCGATTGTTTTGGCAGCGGGATTTGTCACTGATGCTATTGGAATTCATGCTTTATTTGGGGCTTTTGTGGTTGGTGTTCTTGTACCAAAAGAAGGGCCATTTGCAGGTGCTTTAGTGGAAAAAGTGGAGGATTTGGTCTCAGGGTTATTCCTACCATTATACTTTGTGTCTAGTGGATTGAAAACAAATGTAGCTACTATTCAAGGTGCTCAATCTTGGGGTCTTCTTGTTCTAGTTATAACTACGTCTTGCTTTGGGAAAATTGTTGGTACTGTTTGTGTATCTCTCATGTGCAAGTTATCTGTTCAAGAATCGTTAGCACTTGGTTTCTTGATGAATACTAAAGGACTAGTGGAACTCATTGTCCTTAACATTGGCAAAGATAAAGGGGTAAGCTTTTTTCATCTGTTTCATTTTACGTGACATTCTTTCGTTTAAAAAATAACCTTCATGACATGCTCTTATAGCATTACTCCAAAGAGTCTTTCGTTCTTTCTGAAACATATTTTCCAATCAAATAGACAAACATCATCATATTTTGCAAGTAACTAAAACGATATGTTTTGTGGTATTAATTTTGTAGGTATTGAACGATCAAATATTTGCCATTATGGTGTTGATGGCACTCTTCACAACATTCATGACAACACCGCTAGTTATAGCGACCTACAAGCCAGCCAAAATGGCCGTAACAGAGTACAAGCACAGAACAATGATGAGGAAAGACTCAAGCAAGCAACTTCGAATCTTGACATGTTTCCACGGCACAAGAAACATTCCCACACTCATAAATCTCATCGAAGCCACTCGAGGAACAGAGAAAAAAGAAGGACTCCGCGTCTACGCAATGCACCTCTTGGAGCTCACCGAAAGACCCTCAGCAATTCTAATGGTCCACAAGGCCCGAAAAAACGGACTCCCCTTATGGAATAAAGAGAAAACAGGCGAATCAAACCAAGTGATTGTCGCATTTGAGACATTCGGACAACTCAGCAAGGTGTCTATAAGACCAACCACAGCAATCTCCCCCATGTCCAGTATGCACGAAGACATAATTGCTAGCGCGGAAAGAAAAAGAGTTTCGATGATAATTGTACCATTCCACAAACATCAGAGACTCGATGGACATTTCGAAACAACTCGTGCTGATCTCAGAAACGTGAATCGAAGAGTCCTCGAACACGCACCGTGTTCAGTTGGAATAATAATTGATCGAGGACTCGGTGGGGCATCTCATGTGTCCGCTAGCGAAGTTAACTATACAGTCCTAGTTTTATTTTTCGGGGGCCATGATGACCGCGAAGCACTTGCCTACGGCATGCGCATCGCAGAGCACCCTGGCATTACATTAAACGTAGTCCGTTTCATAATTGATCCGGCAGTTATTGGAGCGAGTGTCCACGTGGACATCGCTCAGAATTCCGGTCCTGTACCGGAGTCATCACAAGAGGACGATATTTTTCTTTCTGATCTGAAACAGAAATCAAGCGGTGACAGTTGTATTGTTTTCCAAGAGAGTATTGTAAAGGATGTAAGAGAAACTATAGAAGTTATTCGCGGATTTAAAAAGTGTAATTTGTTTATAGTTGGGAGGATGTCTGAGGGACAACTGGTTTCAGCATTTGATTCAAGAAGTCATGATTGTCCAGAATTGGGGCCGTTGGGGAATTTGCTGATTTCCGGTGAAATTTCAACATCGGCATCAGTGTTAGTTGTGCAGCAATATCGAAGCGAATTACCTCAAGAATCACTAAGGTCTTTGAGGGTTGGAGATTCATCAAGAGTTGAGTCATCAAGGATTGGGCATTCAGCAAGAGTTGGACATTCAACAAAAGGAAATGATGGTGATGAAGAAGTAACTGAAATTTAATTTTTCTTGTAGAGGGTAAATAAGGTATTTTACCAAATATCACAAGGTTAAAATTATGTATATATGTTTCTTAACCTATGTATCGTTTTTTTTTTTGAGTGGGTTTTGTTGTAACGCAAAGCGTATATATCAAGTTAATTAAAGTTCTTGCCTCCTTGCATCATATTCGTAACTAACTTTAAGCTTTTGATTATTGTTGAGGTGTGTGGTTATTCCATCTAAAAGAAATTCTAATTGTTTGATAGATGAGAGTTTTATTATTTAATGTATTTTTAACATGCATCCTTACATGTGATCGATTTCATTTCACGAGTAAAATATGTTTTTTAGTATCATGTTGAAGTGTATGATCATTTCCATGTAAAATAATAAAACTCTTGAAAATAATAGTAGATTTTTATTATTTAATTGTATTCTAAGCAATCTTATGATATGATACAATTTTCTTCTTGTCTAATCAAAATAGGAAATGTCCCATCATTGTACAAGATAATCTTGAGTCCGGAGCCTAAAGGGCAAAAAAAAAATTGTCAAAAATTCCAGAAGGGCACATCACTTTTTATTCTAACCAAAAGGGCAAAATCGCTGCGTCAGCAGCGATTTCGTCTAAAAAAAATTTTTATTTTTTTAATTTAAAAATCGCTGCCACAGCAACGATTTTGTTATTTTTTTTTATTATTATTATTAAAAATCGCTGCCATTGTAAAAAAAATAAAATTCTTTTGCTGTGGCAGCGATTTTAAGTCAGAATATTTTTTTTCCTTACACATCGCTGCAGGGCAGCGTTTTCATGCCGAGTGCTATTATTTTCATGCCTATTATTACTTATTAATAATATAAAAATGATAAACAAGACGACAGTTTACTCAATAAAATTGTTGAAGCATGAGGAAAATTGAATTACATATCATAAATAATAATAAAAGAATATTAAATTCAAATTATTTTTTTTTAAATTCTTAACCAAATTCGCTGCTATAGCAGCGATTTTGAAGAAAAAAAGTTATTTTTTTTAAAGAAAAAGCAGCGATTTTTAATTTAAAAAAATTACAACATCGCAGCGATTTTTAATTTAAAAAAATTACAACATCGCAGCGATTTTTAATTTTTTAAAAAAATAAAAATTTATAAAATCGTTGTTGTGGCAGCGATTTTTAATTAAAAAATAAAATAAAAAAAATTTAGACGAAATCGCTGCTAGGGCAGCGATTTTGTCAAAGGAAAATCGCTGCTGACGCAGCGATTTTGCCCTTTTGGTTAGAATAAAAAGTGATGTGCCATTTTGGAATTTTTGACAATTTTTTTTGCCCTTCAGGCTCCGAACTCAGATAATCTTATTTTCCTTAAAAGGAACTGGTTGTACTTTTAATGAATCAATGCAATCAGTTAGTTACATTAATTTATTTTAATAAAGTCAACTCACGTTTCACAAACAACTAGTACTATCATGTCAAGCCTTTGTATATATCAGATTCACTATATGCTAGTCTTTAATTGTATTAAGAGATTTGTATGTCGGGGTGTTAATCTGTCGATTTGGGTCATGAGTTATTGATCAAAATTAAAATTAAAATCAAATCATTTTAATCAGTTTTTAAATTCTCAAACCAAATCAAATCAATTGTAATATATATTTATCGATTTGATTGTTATTAATTTTGATTTAGTTTGGTTCGGTTATTACCCAGCATAAGTAAAAGTAATCATTCATTCATAATGAAAAAAAGTGACAACAATTCATTCAAAATGAAAAATAGTTAGAACGATGACATTATAAAACTTCCAGTTACTAAATTTATTGTGCATAAAGCTTCAAAATATATAATCATTTTGGCTTAGAAGGAACTACGAAGGATAATGACATTTCTAGTCCTATCAAAAATTGACATGATACTCATATACAAAAATCAATAAGATAAATGTTCTCGTCTTATACATTTTTGCTTTCATAAATAGATTAAAAAAATGGATGAAACATATATAAGATCTTTAAATTGTTTGTAAAAATAATATATTACGTTTGGATAATAATAAAATATATGTATATAATTTTTCGGTTCAGTTTTTTCTAACAAAACCAAATCGAAACCAAAACTATCGGTTTTAAAAAGTCTAAAATCAAATCAAACCAAACCCAAATAAAATCGATTTATTTAATCAATTTGGATTGATTTTTATCCAAATAGTGAACACCCCTATTTGTATGTGTAGAGAAAAATAGAAAGCTCTCATTTATTGTTTTGTTGTTAGAAACCCGAATTATTGGAAATTGCAAAAATAAAAAATAAAAGGTTTGAATCGAGTGAAATGTATACATAGTAGTAAGAATTAATTCATAATATATACTTCGACTACATTGTGATTAATCTTTAGAATCTTTAGATGTTGTCCTTTAATTTACGTGTAGAAGAGTAAATTGATGGACTCAATATTATGTAAAACAAACGACCTTTTTAGTTCAAATTTTGCTAATATTTGTGGTCTAATTTCAGTAATCTAGACAAATTTGTTATGTCTGCTTAATTTGGAGTTAATCAAATTTCATTTTGAAAATTAAAATAGCACAATTTTTAGTAATATTACTTGAATCACGTCATATAAAATCATATGTCGAAAGCAATAAATCTGTAATGAGAACACCACCAATCCATTATTGTATTGTGGGATCCCTTGTATTATTTATAATGATGAAAAGACATACAACTTTTTTTCCTTTCATTATAAATATAGCAACTTTAAGTTGGCTTGAATGAGGAAAAAAAAAATTATAGTTATTTTTCAATGGGTGGCAAGTGCAACCACGTGATAATTTAGTCCCTTTAATTAGCACTTAAGATTGTGGCCTAGTGATTGAGAGTTATGAGGTCTCAAATTCAATTACTAGCAGAGATAAAAACACTAGGTGGTCTTTCCATCTGTCTTGTTGGATAGAGTTACTTAGTGGTAGATATCACGTAAAATTGATCGAGTTACACACAAGTTGATCTGGACACAACGATATAGATTAAAAAAATAACTTATTTCCTTTTGGCATAATACATAAACAGGACCTTTAACTTGGCTTCAATGGACAACTATGCCTTCGAACTTTGAGTGTGCACAAGTAAACACTTAAAGTTGTATAAAATTGAACAAGTAGATACACGTACGATGCCACGTATGACACAAAATTGTCATGTAGGGTGTCATGTAGGACGAATGTGTTTATTTGTTCAATTAATACAAGTTTATATGTCTACTTATGCATACCCAAAATTAAAGATCATAATTGTCAACTAACGCCAAGTCGCCAACTTATATTTATGTATTATATCCTTCCTTTTTTAAACTCCACGTTATTGTATACTTTGAATCCAAACGCCTTTTGATAACAATACTAGCTATCACATATCATATCATTATCTTTATTTAATATATATTTCCCAAACAATAGGGGGCATATGTAGTTGTAACATTTAACAAAGCCCAATAATGCCCAATAATAGAGATAAAGTCCACACATTATAAGCACCAATAATATGCTTACCTCTCAAATCAATTACGTATTTCAACTTTTTTTCCCCTCTTTTTTCAACACCAAATTTGTATAAAAATAATAAATTCCCATTAAATAAGGAGTTAGACCTGCGATATATACAAATTAAGGATGCCATCAGAGTACAAGTCCATTGACAAATTCAATAATTGATCAATGAAATGTTTTATTTTAAATGTATTACATCAATATTTCTGTCATTAACACGTGGCCGACAATGTGGTCTATTAATTTCTAATATCTTCAACCGACTAACTTTGACATAAAACCTTCAAAATAGACAAAATTAAAGGATAATGATGGTTAACTAATTTCCTATTAGAAAGTTATTACAAACTTTGTATGTAAAGAAATGCTTAGATTCAGTAAATCTAATGATTAAGAGGTGTACAAATTTGGCTAAGAGAAAATCCAGGGTCAATTAATTCAAATTATTGACTATTGTAATTTAAACTATATATGACTTCAATCATATTTTTTTTCTTTCTTAAAATTGAAGGTAGGGGGAGAGGATACGAGGTACGAAATCGAATCCTCACTAACAAGGTGAAAATTTACCTAGGCAACCAAGCAAGTTACTAAAAAATTGTCTCTCACTTGATCATTGAGCCATGCATTAGTGACAAGTATGCAAATAACATATGCAATCAGATCAATAATTGATATTATGTGTGAAAAAGCTAGTTTATTTTGGTACGGAATCGCCTTTGTTAGAGAGTGTTTTATTTCCTAATTTGGAACTTTTGAACTCAAATTCAAATTTAATCAGACTCCAATGTGGATACCGGACATGATGTAGAAACCAAAAAGAAAAAGAAAAATGGTGATTTAGGCTTGTGACTCTAGTCCAACTTATTGGGCTGCATTTTATAAAGAAAATGGGCTATAGATTTGATTTAGCTATGCAATATAGATTGAAAATAACAAGAAATAATGGTGGGACTAATGTTTTAGTTCAACTTGGACTGGGTCAGCCACCAAATGGGCCTCACAAGGCTTTAGACAACATTTTCCCCCTTGAGTTGAGGGTTTTCCGAAAATAGCCTCTCCACCTTTATGAGATAGTGGTAAGGTTTGTGTGCACTCTATCCTCCCCACCGAGTGAAATTTCATTGGGTATGTTGTTATATTCTTTTATTTTTTATTTTTAAAAGAGGCATTCTATTTCAAAGCAAAAGGTTACATAAGAGGACCAAACCTTACCTCATACAAGAGTAGCTAGAATGGTAAGCCATTCTTACAATTTTAGCTTCCAAAAATAAAGCAAAAGAGGAGGATTGCTCCTAGTACAATTAGGCTTCCAAAAAAAATGTCTAGGATAGAATACCTAGTACCATTCAAGAAGAGCTCAACCAGGGTCGAAGATAAAAGTGTTTTTTCCGATTCTAAAGTAAGGACAAGCTTCATCATCATTCTTCGTTGTGGCTATAATCTTCCTTGGTAAGTGTCTAGTTTCAGTAAAGAAGTCATTTTTTCTATCGAGCTCCGCAAAGTTGGTTAAGAGATCAGCAGTGGTATTTCCTTCCCAGAATATATGAATGAACTAAAAAATTCCCTATGAAGTCATATTATGGATGTCATTAATTTCCTCTTTAATTTTTATTTACTTTTTTCCAAGATCTAAATTTCTTATTTACTAGATTTAGAACTTATAAGGTAAATGACTACAAGCACACCCCAACACAAAGTGAACATGGTACAAACAAATTATCAAATGAATCATGTGTCTAACGTAACTTATATTCAAAAGCTGACTCAAAGACATAAGAATTGTCCAAGTCTTATAAGGAGTACTCCAAGATTCCCGTCCTTCACAGATGAGGGGAGGGATTCATTCCATTCATAAGAAGTTAATAAGAAAAGTTGAAGCTTTGCTTACTCTAAATAGATTTAAATTAGGATGAGCCTACAACTATTTAAAAAACGGCAAATCATATCAAACAACTTACACTGAACGACAATTCTCATTTTTTTATAAGTTATTTCAAAAGTTGTTAGTGCCTATTATTTTTTGAGCTAACTGAATAGATTTCTCAAATACTTTGAGTTATCTAATTGTCCACTTTATCATCTACTTTTAAATTATTTCAACTAGCTAGTAACTTCTTAATGAAGCAAAACAGACAGATTAATTAAGAAAAAGATGAAGATTAATTATTATTAATTCTTTTGTTTGATGAGTACTATTGACAAATATAATACTGCCAAAGGAAAATCCCGTATATAAATCAGCAAACCAGACAAGTAGAGATGAATAAGGTAACATATAGATATTTGAAATTTCCCATAGACATTTTAAGAAAGAGACAAAGCTTATGATTGATGCTTTTGTTTTGGCCCAATATGGATACGTAACGATTGAAATGTGCCTGATAGTGATACGACGTTAAATCAACTTCGAACCTAACCAAGCTTAAAAGTTAACACAAAAAAGAAGGATAATCCAAGACAAAAACCTCCATCTCATATTAGTTATTCACTTTTCCATCAACACGCCCTTAATATAAATAAGGACAATTTTACTAATTTATCCCTTATAAAACTTTTTGGAGAATTTACAAATTTGTTTACACTTTTTTAAGCAGAGAAATCTTCACATTTACATATGATTCAAATTCTGAGAATGATTATAAATTATCAGCTTGATCATCTGAGGATTTAACTTCACTTGTTTTTGCCTGTAAATCATCCAGATAATGTTGATAAATATACGATGCATATCCCCATAGTCCCAATAACAATGAAAAAACCTTCAATCCACTCATCTCATCTTTCAAGAACAACATCGCAAAAATTGGCACAACTGAAGATCCCAAATTGAGAATAAAGCCGAAGCCTTGTAAACCAATCCAACTGATCCAATGGCGTACAGCTGCCATGAAATCGCAGTACAAACCAAGTTTATAACATATGACAATTTCCCCGTTCTGTATTCTCCTATTTCCTTCTCCAAATCATTCCAATTACCGCTCGCAAAAAGCCCTGTTAACGAAGTAAGTGTCACGAAAAGACAGATGAAAAATGACATTTTCATGACTTCTTTTAACGTGCCACTTTTGAATACCTTTTGGAATGCTAGTTCTGTTAATGAGAACTGTAAAGCGTATCCTAGAGACCCGAATGTAGTAGCTGTAAATCCGATTAGCAGAGATATTTCTCCGCTATCACCCGTCTCATTCTGGAAAATAACAGCAGAGGATGAAAAGGAGAGAAGCACGATGGAGTTGAGTATAATTGCAGTGATTTTTTGTCTGTTGAGGAGGAAGGAAGTGAGCGCGGTGAACGCCAATTGAGAACCGGAAATGAGGGAGTAGGTAGAGACGGGAAGGTACTGTACTCCAATTGTAAACAACATAGAGTTTGCTACTTGAAATATACCGAGGAAGATGTAAACTGAAGCGCGAACAAATATACTAGCGCTATTAACAGGTTGTTCACTGTGATTTTTGGCTGAAGAATAGAAAATAAAAGGCAGAAGAATTGGGAATCCAGCAGTTTGTGCTAATGTAGCAATCCATCTGCTTTTGCCACCTTGTTCATAGTATACTCTACCCAACAGAGTGCCAGCTGCTTGACCACCAACAGTAAAAAATGTGAAGATAAATATTTGAAGCCATAGTATGAATTTACTTGATTCAAAGCTGCTGTTTTTCGCATTTTCAGACGACTCTGTTCTCTCTGCTTCTTCAACTGTCAAATGAAACAGGGAAACATAAAAACAGAGAGATCTCAATCAAAATTGACTTGTATTTTGGCAAAATCAAATCCAACGCGTCCAACTCTTTCAATCCGATTAAGTTTGGGCGAGTTATTAACTCGTCCATTCATTTCAACCCAACCCATTTCAGTACTTTGTTTTGATATGTAACCTTTAATTATTTGATCAAAATAAGATTGAATTAGGTCTTGTCTCGTTATATAACTCATGACCTAATTCCAATACTTTTTTACCCAAACAAATCATATGTGCCTTAAATTTAATCCAACCCGTCCAATATCCACCGCTATGGTAAATAAACAATCGTGCCTCAATCTAAATACGTAAATAAACAATCGTGCCTCATCAGTTACTGCAACAAGTTGGAGGCCATGAATCGATTCCCCAGTCAAAGCCATATAACTCTAGATTTATCAAAATTGATGCAGCGGCTTTGCCTATTAGATTTATCAAAATTGATGCATCGACGAAGCCAAAAATTCAAAGTAAGGAGATTCAAAATCAAAAGAAATATTTTTTGCATGTTTACATAGTATAATTTTTCAACGAAGAAGATTTAATTGACTTTGACTCGGCCTCTAAACACATATGACTATAAATTGAGATGACGATGAAGAATAAGAGTAACTAACAAGTTAGATGCAGCAACTTTTCATGAGCTCCTTCATCCATGCTAACGGACGCCTTCTCTAAGAAAGTTTGTATAAACCGTTTTTCTTCTTTTATTGATGAATGAATTATGGACACCCCAACCACATTTTATAAAAAAAAAATGTTTGTGGCAGGCTACTTCTCAGTTTAAAAATAATGAACTAATTTGATTTGACACAAAATTTAAAAAATAAAAAAGACTTCTTAATTTTGTAATTCTAAATTAAAGATAATAAATCATTCTTTCTTAAATCGAGAAGGAGAGGAAGTATAATTTATAGCTAGATTAACATTTCCTTTTCTACGTTTGGGTTTCTTGACATATTCTATCGTTTTTATTTGCATCTTAGGTGGATCGTTAATAAGATCTGTCCATTTTTAATTAAAAAAATAATAATTACACCCAACGTCCTTCTGTTCATATAATATATTTAATTTAAGTGATCTGCTTTAATAAGTCAGCATTTGTCCGTGTGAATCAGATTTTAAATTTTTTCTTCAAAAATATATGCTTTGTTATGAGATTTGATCAGATTTTTTCAAATTTTTAAAAATTAATTGCACTCATTCAACTTTAAAATTTACCATGTAAAAAACATTTTCATTTACAATTTCAAAAACTTAAATTTCTAAATTTCGATCTTAAAAATGTATAACTAAACTGAAGCTAATTTTAATTAGTTTTCTAAAAAAAGTTGATTCTATCCATATTGCAGATGGTGCTCACTAGACAGCAACCTCAGTATTTACTTGTTTATACCATATAAGTTTAAGTGATTATTTATGTATATTAAAATTAAAGGATTTGTTTATATATTATGTCTAATATATTTCATCAGTATTAGGCTAGCAGATTAGTAGATCGAAAAAACGATATCTATTAGATTTTTTCCCTATTTGATTTGATTTGTTGTTTGATTTGATTTTCGGTTCCAACCAAGTGTGATGCAGTACTTGAAGTAATTGTTACTCACTTAATTAAAGATCTTGAGTTCAAATCTTGAATATGATTTTTTTTATAAGGAGTAATTTCCCCAAATAAAGTCTTACACGACACGAATTCAAATTAATCAGTCTTCAAAATGAATACTTGAACATCAAATAAATAAATAAATAGAAGTAAATTACCACCAAGACATTTCAGCTACTAGGGCACTTTCAACGGAGAAACCACTATTTTCTGTCACGACCCAAACCGTCGTGAGTGACACCCACACTAATCCTCCGGTGGGAGAACTAAAACTATAGCCCAACTAATCAACTTAACCAAAGTAATATATATTTAAAACTATGGAAGCAGGTTTAAATAACAAAAAAAATGGACTCCCCATAAACTTCAAAGGTTTAAATAAACTAGCCAAACTAATGCGGAAGAACAACCCCTAGAACCTGAAAGTTATTGTACCAAAACTCTAATAATGACAAGTCTAAGAACAAGGGGTACAAACCCTGAAACTAAACAACACCTTTAAGAAATAGTCTGAGTCCAAAAAGAGTGAACTTAAACAAGAAAGATTCATGGCAGCCTGAAAGAACTGGCTTACATTTGAATCCAATCACGCTCATTAGTCATCTAGCTGAAGTCTATCAATAGCCACCTAAAGATGCTCTGTACTCAACAAAGAAAGAGCAAGTGCAGTATCAGTACACAACCACAGTGTACTGGTAAGATCACACAACTATCCCAATAAGTGAAACACATGCAAGTAACCACAACATTATAAAACAGGCATATACCGAACATATACAATATTAGTCATCTTTTCAAGATTAATGTAGCATCTCACATTCTCAATAATACATATTGGTTATCAATTTAGAGCAACATACAGTCTTACAATATCAATCATCATTAGATATGAACGTAATCATCACAAGTAGATACACAATACAATTTAATGGTCCTCTCACAGAACCCTATTCAATGGTCCTCTCATGGAACCCACACCCAAACTGTTAGCATACCGGAACGTGGTACCCGATCCAATGTTTATGCTGGAACGTGGCAACCGATCCCATATTTATGCCGGAACGTGGCAACCGATCCAAGTTAGTGTGTCGGATCGTGACAACCGCTTATTCAATAAACCACAGTCACAATCACAATGTATATTGTCACAATCATACAACAAGAAGTGATTCATGACATACAATTATTCAATTATCCTCATTTGCGATTAGGGTGATCAATAATGCAACATTCACATACATACTACACACATGTATTATAATGAAACAATTACAAACATATATCACACAAACATGAAATCACAACTATCACCTACCTCGAATCCAAGCTTGAATCCCCTAAGGCACTTGAATCTTCCCTTTCCAGATTATTTCCACTTGTTCTAGGTCTACAAACAATTAATATACGCAAGGATCAACAATCAAAAGTCTAATTATCCGAATTATAACAAATCCAATAACCCTAGACCATACCCAAGATCTTAATACCCAATTTAGGGCTTTTTCCACCATTAGTTTCAGATCAAAACCCTCCCCAAATAGTAATTAACCAAGAATCCAAGTTCTACGGATCAAAAACGGATTAGGGGAGTAAAATCCTTACTTTTAGTGCTAGAAGAGGTGGAAAACCTTCAAGAAATAGCCCTGGGTCATTTTTTAGCTCTTAAGAATAAACTTTCACAGAAAATAACGTTTTTGGAGTTTTATTTCCGACTTAAGTCACGTGTGTCCCGCTACGGCGGACCCCATCCCCCTACAACGAGATCCCGCTACAGCTGGATGCATGGAGACAGAATGTTGAAATTTGAGTTCCAAGCCTCCATTTCACTATACACCTTCAACCCTTGACATTCAACAACTACCGGTTCACACTAAGATCATTTTCGGGAGTTCTACTCGCCCGAATTTGATTCTGTAAAGTTGTACGGGTTCCTTAACATCTTAGCTATCCACTCATGTAATCAAAATTATAATTAAATCACCCGATTGTTACCAGATATCCCTACACCTTAAAGACTCCAATTTAGTCCAAATCTGAACTAGGTTGGAAAGTTCCAAGTTACTACAAAAAAAAAAATTCGACCCAAAATTTTTCTCTGTTGATTTTTCTATAACGACGGAACCCTATCATTACATTTTCTTTTACTCAGTGATGAACTATGGTCTATAGACACCCAATTTTATAACTTATAGAATTGCATGGACAAAAGTTTGTTTTATTATACAGACGATTTATATTGGATACACTTTTATTAAAAAGTTGTGTATAAATATTTTCATCATCTAACAAATTATATATGTTTACTCTTTTGTTAAAAGTCTAAATTAATAAAATCTCAAAAAATATTTTTTTTGATGTCAAAAATGTCATATGACATAAAAAAAATTACTTCACCTATTTTTAACCCCTCCAAACCTGACCATTAAAAAAATTACTTTTCCAAAATTTCAAATCCTAATTTAATATTTTCTCATAAAAAAACTAATTTCTTCAAAAAAAATCTTTCACCATAATATTAAAAAAAAAACATAAAGAGAAATTTAAAAAGAAAGAAGTCATTTATTAAAAATAATTTACTAAACAATTAAGTATATTGTAAATAGAAGCATAATTGTCCTAAATATATAAGAAATACGTTGTCACAACTCATCATCAAAGAATATTATGCAACAAATGAGTTGTTCTTTCTTCAATTAAAATTTTGAGTTTAAATTTTAAATATAAAAATAATACTTAATACAAAATATTTTTTCTTCTGATTAAAATATAAATATCAAACATCGAAAAATATGGTCACATCGCATAAAGGACCCCTCCATTTTTGTTGGTGTGTGTCTTTTTGTACATTTTGGTAGATAGTAACTATGTCACACACCTAATTGTCGGTGGAGTCCGGGTATAGATTATTTAAATTATACATTATACAAACGATATATAATTCTATTATAGATACTTGTCTATGTATAAAAAAAAACGTTTTACAGAGTAAAATCTTTAAAATAATTTATTTAAAGAAAAAAATAAAATAAAATAATAATAATTACTATATAAGAAGAGTGAATAAATTCACTCCTCTTTCGACACGTGGCACCAAAAAAAAGGAGAGGGTTGAACATAAGTGTGAATGTGAGGGTATTTTGGGTATTTAAAAATACCCTCACATTCACACTTATCTACTAAAAAAAAATTACTATGTAATATATATAATGTATAATATATAAGTACTAGATAAGTGTGAAAGTCAGGGTATTTTGGGTATTTAAAAATACCCTCACATTCACACTTATCTACTAAAAAATATATATATAAGTAGTAGATTTAAATATATTTAAAAATAATATAAGTAATACTATACTTAGTATTACTATATAAGAAGAGTGAATAAATTCACTCCTCTTTCGACACGTGGCACCAAAAAAAAGGAGAGGGTTGAACATAAGTATGAATGTGAGGGTATTTTGGGTATTTAAAAATACCCTCACATTCACACTTATCTACTAAAAAATATATATATATAAGTAGTAGATTTAAATATATTTAAAAATAATATAAGTAATACTATACTTAGTATGCTTAAAAATAGTAAAAACTACATAAAAAGTACTACATATCATATTACAATAATTAACAATTATTTGACACTTTCAATTCTATCAATGCCATATAAATTAGGATAAAAAAGGTAACATTTATATTCAAAAATAATATAAGTAATACTATACATTACAATAATTAATAGCTTAAATATTTAAAAGTTATATAAAAAATTTAATTGACTCTCTAAATTCTATTGCTACCACATAAAATGGATTATATGATAAACATATATTGTTTGAAATTGACGAAAAATAAACTATAAATTACAATAATTAACAAAAAAAATTGTCGGCTCCAAAAAATCTATCAATTAAGAACATATATTGTTTCAAATTGACGAAAAAGAAACTATAAATTACAATAATTAACAAAAAAATTCTCTCGACTCCAACAAATCTATCAATTAATGCCACATAAATTGGGACGTGGAAAATAACATATATTCTTTAAAAAT